TGCTCCTTCTAATTCATACAGAGTAATTAAACATGTTTAAGCTAATTTCTCCACAATGTTTGTAGCCATTCAGTACCCACACATGAAATAATAAAACCAAGAAATCAAATAAAACACACACAGTTATAATTTGAGCAGCAATCCCCTTCTAGCTGCTGCAACAGCCCTAAAGCATCTTTCACGCACCCACATGGCAATAGAAACAAAAGCAAACTGTGTGGCCTAATTCCCAAGGCCTCTTTATGGGTCTACAGGAAACGAATCATTAACTTTAACAAGACTTTAACTACATTATCTGAAAATGTATCAGGGAATTCCCCTGTTAATTGCAAGGACTGTATCTGCTAGGCAGAAGTCACTCAATGCAGAAATCACAAGTTTAACACACATTCTATATAAGGTGACATTAAAATGAATATACCAGAAATACACTGTATCATACTTTCGGCCATAATACGTTACTTTAATACTTCAAATAATTCAAATAATACTTCAGTACCCAAATGTCTACTCATTACGCTTCTAGGTTTACATTTTCTCCTACATTAAAGCCAAGTGTACCTCACATCCGACACATTTCAAGCTGCTGTTTGAAACCCTTTTCATTTAGTTTTTAAGAGCTATGATTGTTTGCCTCATATCACACTTTCCATTTAAATATTTGCATTAAGACTGATGAATATTGCAGCCTTGAATAGACAAGAGCCATCCTGCACAACTGACATTCCCTCTTCTCTCTTTCAGACATGTGATTTTTGCTCCCAGCAGCCACAATAAATATGCAGGGGAGTCTTTCCCTGGAATCTACGATGCATTGTTTGACATCCAGAACTCAGTTGATAAACAGAAGTCCTGGGAGGACGTCAAGCGTCAAATCAGCATCGCAGCATTCACCGTTCACGCTGCTGCCATGACCCTAACTCCACCTGCATGATGCAGGCACAGACAATCTGAAGCCATGTGATATGCAAATGAATGATTTTATAATAGCGGATTCTGAAGAGAGGAAATACGCTCCCTGAAACACAGAGATGGACAATCCCTGTTTTCTGAACATGTCAAGTTCCAGGAATGCCTGTTCAGTGATACAGTGAATCTCTGAGTTCCATTTTCAGAGTACAACTTTCTGGTGTTTTATGTTATTATAATTTTTTAACTATTTGATGTTTTGTGAATTGGGAGCATAATAAAATAAATCCATCATTTGCATGGAGGCAGGAAAAAAACCTACTTAATCTTTAAGCTCTTTATTTTAGGTTTCTTCCACTTAATTTGTTGAGCTTTTTTACTTCACCCAAATAAGTAATAATAAATAATAATAATTGTTTATACAGGAAGCTGCCTTTCTTTGAGAACTTGCTATTAATATAAAGCAAGATGATCACACAACCTTTCGATTGGTCTCCTATATTCAAACTATATATCTTACTCAAACACCAAACTGGGAACCTGGCAACAATCAGAGTTATGCAGAGTTACTTATATGGACGTATTATGTAGATGATGTAAGAAGTGGTGTGTGAATGAATGTGATGAGTGTGAGCAGGCTGTCGTGTCTGCATGCTTCTGTGTGTTTTACCTTGGAGCTGACAGTCTCCACATAGCTGACCCAGGTTAGGAGGTTTGGTGTAATGGAGATGATAATTTGACTCTCGCCCCCTGGGACAAAGACAGAAGGAAAAATGCTTAATCTCCTAATAGAAATTAATAAGTAATAGTGATGTGTGGTAAAAGTTAAACAACACATTTTCATTATTTAATTAAAAGTATTCCTAAAGGAAAGTTTGAGCAGGAAACCACCAACTTAAAACATGAATATTACTGTGTGCAGCACACTGGAAGTGAACTGGAGCTAATTTCTCTGGCTGGTTTCAAAGTGTGTTGACCATAAGAAAAATGTCTGCCCTACGCTTTTAAACTTTGATCTTTCTTAGTTGGAGTATTTCCTCTCTGACCTGGGTATTTTCCCTCCAGAGGCGACGTCCTGTAGTGCAGCCCTGCTGGGACCGTTTCTTTTGGCAGCAGCTCCAGTACTTTGTGCTGCAGACAAACAAACACCTTTAGGAAGCAGATACAATTTAAGTTGTACAACAAATCGTGAAGGGTTAGAACTACTACACCATTAAAACTGTGCTACAACTTATTAGAGCACAATGTGTTCGATTGTGTCTGGTGTGTGTGTACTCACTCCATGTGGAAAACAGGAACTCCCGGATGATGTTTACAGACTCCCTTCTGCCTTCTGTCTTTCTGGAACAGAGTTGTACTGAAAGTCCAAAATGGCAGACAGGTGATGACATTTGAACTCTGCCTGTCACAGAAACAGTTTACTACATTACAGCATCCTCTATTCTTACAAGAAGCCAATCTTTTCATCGCCTTCTTCAGGAATGTATACAAATCCATGTGTGTACCCGTGTTGTCAGCTTGTTATCTGCCATTCATGTGAAGTGATGCCCCGTTGCTCTTTACTGCTGCTGGTCCCTGAAAGCTACCAAATTGTATTTTGTTGTATTCCTACATTGAGGTAAGTGCTTTAGAAACTAATGCAGCTGATGCCCTCCTCTGGCTATTAACGGTATTGCAGCTTTTGTTGGTTGGTTATAACCTTAATATATACAGTCTATGGTTATAATCTTAAAATGTAAGAGATGCGTCTTCATTCTTATTCATTTAGTCAATGCTCAATGTTTGTTTTTTTATTTTCTTTATAATAAAGCAATAGCCACCCCCCAATATAAATCCATTGTGGAGTAAAACACAAAAGATGACTGAAACCAAATACAAACACTGTTGTTAAAGGATCTCAGGAAAACAATGTAAAATATGCTAAAAATCATATTTAGAAAATGTATGAACAAATCCATTAGGAGATGATTACAGTAAGAGCTCAGAAAATGTCATCCATTTTCCCTTTATCAATGATCGGCATTTACCTTATTGTATCATATTTATTGAGGGAAGACAGCCACACACACACACACACATCTTATACACTGACAAAAGTTCATTGCATTTAGTGGGTCTTTAAATGTTTGTCAGCAGGTAACATATAAAAACAATAAATATAAAAACAATAAACAAATGCACATAAAAGCTGATATTCCATAATATTCGATTTTGTGTTGATTAATGGTAGAAAAGGTAAACAGAAGAATGAATCTATAATTCAGCAAATACAAAAGCACCAAGAATCACCCGAGACAAACATGCATACATACTATGATATCAATCCAGACTAATTTAGGAATAAATTATTCACCCATACCATTACCTTTCATCCATAACCTACAACTCCCATCTGTTTCAAATCTCATGACATTCTCCTGTTTCAAAAGTTACTTGCTTGTTCCCTCCAATGCGTATGGTTTCAAAGAAAAGCACACTAAATTAAAAATGACTGATTTGAAGTCTCTTAGTGCTGATTGTAAGACATGACAAACGTAATGTAGTTTTGCCGCAACTCCAATGTAACGGAAAGCATAGGACAACATGTTCATTGCACTGTTGATTCAGACTGTTTGATATCCTCATCAACGTCCATTGTATGACATTATCAAAGCTAAAATTACACCAACTTGAACAAGTCACTTTATCACTTATGTTTTCACTGTTTTGAGCATCACACTTTGATCACTCATGAATTCTATGATGGAATATAACAGTGCAGGCTGTATTTGTATCTATCTTTTCCATATAGCACATTTCCATTCCAAGTGACACTGATTTCCATGATGCAGTTTAACCCTGACTCAATCATCTGTCTGGCTCATTTCTCTAAGGCACTCCTTTAAGTTCCCCACCCGGTCTCGATTCTTAACTTCAGCGGTCTTTATTGCCTGCTGCAGCAGCCGCTGCGTCTCGTCCAGCCCCCCCACCTTCGGCATGTGGTAGCGGAACAGGAAACCGGCCAGCTGATTGTCGTGGCAGTCCGGGGCGAGCAAGCCGCACAGAAAGCGCAGGAACATGTCGTAGTGGCCCAGCGGGGAGCTGAGGGTCCGCGTTAAGGCGCTCTGGACGACGCCGGCCACTGATCTGGTATGATCCTTGGATGCGAAGAACTTGGCTCTCGGCAACAACATGCTCTCCAGAACATTTTTGGACTCTTCGCGAAACATTGTGAAGACGTACACAGCGGCCATGAACTCCTGGAGGGGAGAAGACGTTGTTTTGATTCAGTTCTAATCCTGTGTCCCATTGTTAATTGTTCTGTTATTTGTTGGTATTTAAAAATATTCCTCTTCCCTTTTATTTGTTGTGTACGAATAGCGCATGTAAATGGTTTGCAAAGGCTAAAATCCCAAAGTTCTTTCCAGAGGCAGTTTCTCTCCCACACACCCCCTTTAACTAAATTGTGAATGTTTTTTTTTTTCATGTTTTATAATACCAGTACAGAATTCAAATAAGGTTTTATGATACTCAGGTGCTGTAAGATGGAGAGTTGTACCTGCACGCTGAAGTGTACGAAGCAGAACTTCTTCCCATCTGAGGAAGGGAGCTCGGTGCACAGACCGGACAACAACGTCACCTCCGTGAAGCTCACACCGTACTCCTTCACGTCCTCTTCACAGAACACACTGATGTCCTTCTCCAGCATCTTGAAGGCCATCTTCCCGATCTTAGTCGCCACGTGTTTATCTTCAGGGGACCATTTCTGAGTGGAAAAGAGACATCGAAGTGAAACATTCTGATGTTTTGGTTAGCTATTAGCTGCTCCGCAAATGTCTCTTTTGTCTGCTTGAACTAATTAAGTCAGTCAAACTGCATTGTTTGTTTTGTTAAAACTGCCATACAGGTGTTGGAGGCTCGAGTTTGATTTTAAATCAGCGCCAATCAAAATGAAAGAGATGGCACAGGTGTTCATGATATTGTATCCTTGAATGTTAAATGTAAAAAGTAATCAAAAGTAGATTCAGGAAATGCCTGACCCCTTAGCAATTAGGTGTTCTATTTTCACGAACAAAGGGGGTTACGTTAATATAACTAATCTAACTGAGACCATAAAAAGACACAGACAAAAAAATATACCAGTTCATTTTCCGCCTTTCCGTAGTAGAACTCCAGCCTGCGATTCATCTGGACGACCAAAACATTGATGTAGAACGGCGTCAGCCTGGGGGGGTTCTCCCCATAGCCCCGACGTTTGAAGCTGCGCTTGAACATTGTGGCCACCATCCAGCACACGAAGGGTTGTCGGGTGAGAATAACGAGGGACGGGAGGAGCTTATAATGCGCCACGATCTTTGCTGCTAGCGCTGCGTCTTCATAACGCTTGCTCAGGTATTCATCCTTCATCGTATCACTGGAGAAAAGAGGGGGAGAAAAGATCAAAATGGTTTAGAACTGCAACAAAAATAGTATAACTGTACATAATCAAAACTAATAAATGGATGGGCTAAATAAGTCGACACAGGATACTTAAAATACCTGCAAATATAATTTAAGAAAATGATTAGAGCAGATGTGTCCAAACGTTTTTCACAGAGAGCCACATACAGACAAATATACGAATGGCTGGGCCACTCCCTAGAGGTGAGGTATATTGCCTCATAAGGTCAGTTATATGTAAGCTAAATTAATTAGGTATAGTGTGCTTGATACTTGAAAATGGCTTTAGAAAAAGAACAGCCTATATCACAGCTCTCTGGGGTTTCATTTGTTCTGTTGGCAGCTCATCCCTTAAAACAGAAGCCTCAGAGTGATTATAATAAGGGGAAATGTGAAGGGTATATTCCAAGCTTGTTATGCAAATAAGTAATTGGGCCTTTTTTCTTATCAGCTAAGATTTGTTAGAAAATGTTCCCAACTTTAATTGACTGAATTTATTTAAAGTGGGCTTATTTATTTAAAGTGGGCTTATTAACATGGTCTCCAGAACTGTGTCATATATTTGTACATGTATATTTAAGAAGTACAATATAAGACAAGCACAAGTTTCATTTGTTACATTATACTTTTTTGAATTTGCGGGCCGCATTTGGCCACAGGGCCGTAGTTTAAATAGACACCCCTGGATTAGAGTCTGTACCTAACACAAACACACTGTCCATCTACACACACCTGAAGCCCTGTATCTCTGTGAAGACATCAATGAACTGAGGTGGTATTTGGGAGATAGCAGTCCGTCTCCCCAGGATCCAAACGCAAGCCCCACGGAGCACAGTGCCTCGGACGATATTCACAACCAGGACGCCGGGAGTTGCTTTGGTGACATTGTCATTTATTACTGGAGCATTCTGTACAGAAAACATAGGAGAAATATATCAGTCTTCGTCATTCATCAGATAAGGAGACCAGAAAGCAGCGTTTAAAACACTCCTGGATTGTTTACTTGCCAACTGCTTACGATACAAACTGCTTTATTTACTAATTATTAGCTCACCTTCAAGAACTGTAAAGTGATATAAAGATTTTAAACTTGATGGCGGTTGGTTTTTAACGCTCATTTTTTGTGTTACAGTTGTGAATGGGTTTTAGCTGTGGTGTGCAGATGGCTTACCAGCCAGTCCAGAGGTTCTCGGTAACAATCAAGTGAGTCCATTACGACGACAAATTTACAGTCCTCGTCCTCCAGGTATTTCATGTCTTTGCACTCAGGATAATAATATTCCAACACATCCATGATGGACATCGTCTTTGCGATATGATTTTCATTTTGTCGCAGGGTCCAGAAATTCCGGAAAGAAAGCTTGAAAACGAACTGCAGATCCTGAGCAAACGTGGACAAAAAAATGTTGTCAGTCACAACAAATAGGTCAAAAAAACTAACTTGTTTTTGTTGATTTACCTTATTTGCACGCATTTCTGCCCAATTCAGGCAGAATTTCGCCTTAGACACAGACATGCCCATGCCTGCAAAGCCAGTGGTGACCACGGTCCTCGCTGGTTGACCATCTTCCTTTTGTAGTCGCAACAGATCGTTCAGCCCGACGAAGGTGTGGGGACTGGGGACCCTGAGGTGGGTTGGTGGATGGGGTCGGAATTCATGGGAGGGGTCAACTCCTCCATAACCACAGGTGGAAATCTGGGGCTCTACGTAGATGGATTCGAATAAATTCTGCTTTCCAGCTTGAACAACCCCCTCGTGGATATATTTGTGTTTTCTGGACAATTCCTGCTGCAGTTGAAAACGGACCAGCGCTGTCAGTGCAGAAAGACAAAGTGGAAAGTAAGAAAACGACGTTTGGTTTGGAAGGTGTAAGCGGTGATAACACATATCACATTTGAGAAAGGTAGTACTTCAGCATTGTGTGTTACAGTCAAAATCCTGTGGTCTTCAGATGGTGGAAATGACAAAATAGCTTGTTGTTCTATTTAAATGTTAGCTTGTCAAAAAGCTGCATTTTAAACAGAGGTGGTTACACATTTTATTATTAAGGCTTTTACAATGTAACCAGCACATTCATTTTGAAAATGTTGCATATTGTTTCAATGGAACAACATAAAGGATCAAATGCTTGTGTCTGATTTGCTGCAGGACGTCCTGATAATGCACACGCTGCAGCCAATCAGATTATTTACATTTGTACTGTTCTCTTGAAACTGTTGCCTATAAGCCTTTAATCCTCCATCAAAAGTCATACTTGCCTCTTTTACACGTAACACGTAGTGTGTCTGCCTCTTCTGTCTTGCCGATGCTTTTCAGGGTTTGTATTGTATGCGACAGGGAACGATCCTGTCCTGTGAAACAGAATTTAATCAAAAAGAAAACTGGTAAGCAACCACTATAAGACCCTGTCCTCTCCATAAGGCTCGTCAATTATTCCTTAACATTGCATTTGACTGTAAATGAAAGGATAACTATTCAAGTCTTAAAGCTAAATTCTATTTTTCCTTAACAATAAAGGTCACAAAGTGTTTAGTCTAAAGCTGCTATCTCAACAGTCAAAGTGTGTCCCTCTCCATTTTAAGCTCCATCTGTACAGTACCATTCACAATTAATGTTCAATAGATGTGTTTAGATACCGAGTTTCTCCAGGATCATGTCCACAAAATCAAGAAGGTCCCCCTCCATCGCTTGTTTCTGGGTAAGGTCTCGTTCCCACTGGTAAAACCACGTCTTAAATGTTAAGAGGTCTTTAAAAGGGAGCAATGTCAAAACATTCTGGATACTCTGCAGACAGAGAGAAGGTAGAACAGAAACACAAGTTAACATTTTGTCTCAGATATTATGTCGGCGTCTCGTTGGCCGTATTAAGGGGGTGCAACCATTACATTTTTATGATATATCAACAAGCTTGTTTTTTTATACAAAAAAAACACCTAATTACCCAAACCACACAGAATTAGCTAACTTTTTTTATGTTTGTTTATAATGTTATAAACATGAATAGTAAAAGTTATTTAAACAAATACTGTAGGAACGCCCCCCCCCATATTATCCATGATGAACGACCTATATTCTTAATTTTCTTTTTTCATATCTGTAAATGTACTTGTTTTATTTAATCCTATTGTTGTGATATTTATTTAACTGTCATTTACATGTTTTACTCTCATTATACTTGAGAACCTATCTTATCCTGTGTTTCACTCTAAGTCTAGGTGCTGCTGTGACACCTGAATTTCCCCACATGCATTAATAAATGTTTGTCTTATCTTATCCTATTTGAAAAAGATGAGGCAACTCAGCTATGACGGGCTCACCTTGAAGATATGGGGCAGGGCCTGCTCTGGGTGTAGTGTGCCTGGCTGGCTATCCTCACTAGTTGTTTCTTCTGGTTCAACCGGCATAGGTGGTTCTGGGGAATCAGCCAACAAAGGTTCATCTGCATCCTCCAAGTCATTTTCTGGAACATCCCCCAGATCAGAAGACCTGATAGACAACAAGGCAAGTTTATTTATATAGCACTTTTCAACAAAGTGCCTTTCATAACCTCAAGGTCGCTAGAAACATACAAGGACAAGACATAAAACATACAAAACATAAACATAAAACAGGGGGCAGAAATGGAAGTGTAAGTGGGGGGGGGGAGTGAGTTATTGTTGGAAGGCGATGTTGAACAGATGAGTTTTAAGGGTTGATTTGAAGATGTTGAGAGAAGGGGCGTTGCGGATTTCTGCAGGGAGGGAGTTCCAGAGGGTGGGGGCAGCGACACTGAAGGCACGGTCCCCGAAGGTGCGGAGGCGTGAATGGGGAATGGAGAGCAGGCCGGAGTCTGAGGATCGAAGGGTGCGGGACGGGATGTATGGGTGGAGGAGATCTGTGAGGTACTGAGGGGAGAGGGCATGGAGGGACTTGTAGGTGAGGAGGAGGAGTTTGTAGGCGATGCGGGACTTGACCGGGAGCCAGTGGAGGTTGAAGAGAGTGGGGGTGATGTGCTGCCAGGGCTTGGTGCGTGTGAGAACCCTGGCAGCTGAGTTCTGTATGTACTGGAGCCTGTCCAGGGTTTTGCTGGGAACCCCGGACAGGAGTCCGTTACAATAGTCCAGGCGTGAGGTAATGAAACAATGAATGAGCTTCTCAGCAACAGAGTCGGAAAGAGCATAAAACACATTAGAAACATTAAAAAGCAAAGATAATAAAACATGAATAACACAGGTACATGAATCAAAGTTACAGTGCAGCGTAAGATGTGAATAGTTCAATTAAAAGCAGCGGCAAAAAGAAATGTTTTCAGCCTGGATTTAAAAGTAGTAAGTGTTGCAGCGGACCTGCAGGTTTCTGGTAGTTTGTTCCAGATATTTGGCAATATCACTAACCAAATTCTCTCATTCCTCTACCCCTAGTCTTCCTGTGAAATTATAGTTATTTTGATATTCCTCTCATCCTTCTCTTTCATCCATTTTGCATCCCCAGACAACACATTTCCCCTGTCTTACTGTTACCCGAACCCATCTTTGACCTTTAAACCACTTTTCAATTCCCAGAATTAGGATATTTAAACCTGTTTTAAGAATCTTTGGCCTTTAAACCACAACAGTAAGAAAGGTAAGGTGAGAAAGAGATAATCATCATGATGTTTAGCTGCATTTTGGCCCTTGTAGAAAAAAAACACACATTTTGCAACACCTATGTTTGGATATTGAATGTTTTAATATATTCAACTAATTTAAATGTTTTCACATATAAACTAATGTGATGATACAACTCATTAAATGTTAAATTACGTGCAGAGGCGACGTTGGTAGCAAGGAATCGATTTCCAATGATTTTTAACAGATAATAAATATCATTTTGAAATGTATCTGCATCAAAAAAGTGTGTGTGTGTGTGTGTGTGTGTGTGTGTGTGTGTGTGTGTGTGTGTGTGTGTGTGTGTGTGTGTGTGTGTGTGTGTGTGTGTGTGTGTGTGTGTGTGTGTGTGTGTGTGTGTGTGTGTGTGTGTGTGTGTGTGTGTGTGTGTGTGTGTGTGTGTAGTAGTAGTACTAGTA